TAGAAAAAAAATTATTTTTTTTAATTATCCAACCGCAAACGCCAGTAATCGCAAATGTTCGAGGGAAACAGCTTTTGATTTTGAGAGGTTTAGAGCGATACAGAGCTGTATAAAACGTTTTCCATGATTGTTATCAAACGCTAACAACCACTACCACCCGCAAACGCAACATTTACAGGTGAACCAATCAAGCTCCAGATCCGGCTCCACCATTTTTTTGACGTCACAAACACTTCTACATCGACTATCACACATTTAAGAAGTCAAACACGTTGTTCTAACACCTTCGTAGCGTTATATTGCTCCCTTTTTCCTGTTGTTGTAAATTTATGCATCTGAAACAATCAGCTTTAACATCTAATTGTTCCAATTTTAAACGTTAGAAGAATTTGATGTACCAAATGTTTTTGACAAATTCTCTAATGATAATTCGACGAGCATTATCTTTCCAGTGAAAGTAAAGATTGGAAGAGATTCCGAGCTTACTAGAATTCTTAAGCAATTATTCCTAATAACTTAGATTAAAAATGAAATTTGTATTAACTCTAGGATTACAAAAGCTTTTTCCTCGTTTGATGCGTAGACCCTATGGGCCTTTTTATTAATTTGTTGGTAACAAAGTTCTACTGACTCTTTGGGATCCACGTGACGCTCGGGTATGTGAAGCAGTGGTTCATGACCCTTGGAGAAAGAGTGCCAACGAGAAACCGCACTCATAATAGTACAGAGTTTAAACCGGTCCTAAAACTTCTATGCTCTGAAGAAAAGAACAACCTTTTTAATAGGAATTTAAAGAGAAAAACTATTGGATAGAGTATGATTATAGGTAGTAAAATATGTTGGGATAATATATGAATTTTATAATATTAATTGTATTGGGATTGATGAAGAAAGAGAAGAGAGAGATGTATAATTACCCAAATATGGAGTAATATATATGCTATATTTAGAAATATGGGGTAATATGAATTTTGATTTAATTAAATGGATTTAATACATAAAAACCCATTATATTTACTTATATTTACTACCTATAATCATGCTCTAAGGTTGGAAAGCTCGAAAAGCACAAACAACTCGGCATTAATTTTTAAAAATATTTTGTACTGCTAAATTACTAGAAGATTTAAACTAACTGTCTTTTTAAATAGATAAATTTATTTCGACCGCAAACCCAAACTTCTTTTGCTTAGATTCATGACTAAAGACATCTATCATAAGTCGCAACTTCCTCCGTCTAACCCTGGCCAAGTCAGACCAAACTCCTTCTCCTGACATATAAAGATATAAACCTCACATGCTCACTTTTCCCCGGCTTACACTTGGAGCCACACAGTGTGGTTTAGCAACAACATTCCTATACATTCTTCTAATAGATGGCAAAAAAATGTTTCGTAATTTGAAATCGTTTTTCTTTGCATAGGATATAACATTTCGAGAATAACTATCTCAAAAGAAGAAAATAAATATGTTAACCATAGTACATTTGTAAGTTACTTATGTCGAGAAAAGTTTATGCTATGATTTTATTTTGCGCATGATAAATCTACGAAAAAACTTGCATAACATATACGAAAACGTAATTTACCATTGAAATAATTTATCATTGTAAAAAGACAAATCTACCATATAAATCTATTAATCAATAAAACTACTAAATTAGTAATAAGTTTACAAAAAAATAAGTTTTCTTAAAATTGGGTCACTATTATTTTTGCATATTTATTTTTTCTCATAGAATAACAAATATTTTCCATAATGACATGTTTTTTCGTAAATAAATTCCACTTTTTGTATCAAACACATACAAAATTAATAGCATTTTCATAGATAGTTTCTTTCTTTCCTAACATAGTAAATGTATTATGAATGTGAAAAACATTCAATTTAACTGTTGTGATATTTTAATAGTTAACCTGTGTTTTTCTTATCTCATTATAATTATATTCTCCCTGCTTAGTCACATAAACAAAATAAAAGAAGTAGCTGGAAACATAAGATTTTACCCGAAGAGAACAACAACACATAAAAGTGGAGTCGAACTCGAGAATTCCTAAAAACTGAATAAATGAAATAAACTTAAGGAGACAAATGAAATCCAAGTAGGTCCCATTATCCATGTCGTCTCGGGTCTTGTGTTCCTCAAACTCCCACTTTCACTGTTCTTTTTCTTTCACCTTGGGATGTCCGATATATAATACTAAATAAAAGATACTAAAGTTTAATAATAATGTTTTCTTTTTCTTTCATATCTTTCACACACATTTGCAGTCTTGCACAGGGTCTCCCATGTTACTGTACAAAGTTCACATCTCTCAGTTTCTTCCA